ATAAGCAGATCGTCCAGATATGACGAAATTCTGATCCCTGATCTCCTCAACGGAGTCAGGGCTCCTTCTACACATTTGCTGAATACTCGAGGCGCTAAAGCTAGGCCAAAAGGTATTCTCGTGTACTCGTATGCTGTGCCCTGATAGGCGAACCTCAGATATTTCCTGTGCGCAGGAAAAATATCTATGTGAAAATATGCGTCCTGGAGATCCACCGAGGTGAACCAGTCTCCTTGCCGAATATTTTGACACAACGTTCTGATAGACAGCATTTTGAATTTGTATTTTCTCAGGTGTCTGTTGAGGACCCGTAAATCCAGAATGGGACGGAGACCTCCCCCTCTCTTGGGAATCACAAAATAACGGGAGTAGAAACCCTTGTGGCTCTCTTCCGTTGGAATCACTCTTATAACTCCCTTTCTCATTAAAGAGGTTATTTCTTCCTCTAAAACCAGAGCTGCATCCCCTTTGGCCACTGAAATTACCACTCCGTTGAACAGAGGAGGTTTTACAGCGAATTGAAGCCTGTATCCCCTCTCTACAGTGGTTAATACCCAGGGATGAACTGCGCATGCGCGCCAGTTCACCGTCTGAGCAGCGAGTGGGCCCTTCCCGTCTTCGCTCACTAGAGGTGCCGCAGCACACTCTAGCGGCAGAGGGGGGGAAGACCGCTCCAGTGACGGAGTTATATTGGTCTTTATTTGTGATTGTTTTATTCTCTTGTGAACTTTTTCTCTTTTTTTCACATTCTGCGCCCTCGGTCTTAGACCTGGATGCGTCAGAGGAAAATTTATTTTTAAACAACTGCTTGTGAACGTTAGACCTTCTTCCCCTGTAACAGACCTCGAAGGTGGAGGGGGAGATGATCTCTTGGGGGGCACTCGCAGAACGGTGGCCACATTCCCGCACACATTGGACTCTGAACTGTCCACACAAACACTTTTCACCTCTGAAAACCTTCTCCTTTTCCCCGCGGGAGGGAGAGAGGAATCGTTCTGAAGGGATGGGACAGAGAAACCCTGGGTGCTGTCTCCCAACCCTTCCTGATGCAGAACTGACGTATCAGGTCGACCGCCTCTTCTTGTTCCCCTGGGGGGCGGGCGATCGGTGTTTCGCTGCTGCGGCCGCGAAAGACTGTTTAGGTCTAACGAAACCTGGTTTAGGTTGTGGGGCCGTGTTGCTCGGCTGTTGTGGTGGGGCAGAGCGGGAAGGCTGATAATCTGGGTGCCCTCCTCTGACTGACGGTCTGAAATTCGGCCGGTTCGGGTGATAAGGCCGAGCCGCCGGCTTTCTGGGGAGACAGACCTGGAAAGCTTCTCCCTCCTTCTTTCGCAGGTCAGAAGACTGCCGCATCGCCGTTACTGTCGCGCCGAACATGGCTTTTGGATCTATCGGAGCATCCAGAAACTCTGCCTTCTCTTTTTCAGAGAGCCCTGACAAGCCCAGCCACAGCGATCTCTCACCCACTACTGCTAAGCCCATACTCCGTCCGCAACTTTGAACTGCTCCGCGGGACGTGCGCAGGTTCAAATCTGCGATGACGCATATCTCCTCCCAGAGCACTGGGTTGGGAGATCCGGAATCCAGCTGACGACCCATCTCCTCTAAAAGCTCCGCTTGATAGGCTGTTAGGAGGGACGTCGCGTTCAAAGCATGGACGGACAGTGCAGTTGATTTATAGATCTTCTGAAAAACAGAGGCAGCGAAGCGCTCTGTTTTCCCTGGCAGCGACGCTCCGGTTGAAGAGAGCGCCGCCCTGCGGCCCGGGTGCAAGTGATTTGCCACTGAAGTTTCCACCGGGGGAGGATCCGCCATCCCTAGATCCTCCATTCCCTGAACATCAAGCCTCGAGAAACCCTTGACGGGCACTCGATGAGAAAAAGGCTTGTCCCAAAACTTCTTCATCTCCGTCACACAGGCCGGGACGGCCGGAATGAACTGCCTTGCTGGCGGGAGACGTGACGGAAGTCTCTTTCCATCGTACAGGTCTCTTTCAGCCCCTTGACCTGTCTGTTGGGATGGCCAGTCGATAGATAATCTAGCCGTGGCCCTGCGACAGACCTCGATTAGATCCGAATCCGTCTGTACAGGGGAGGGTGAACTCTCATCCTGTGCACTCGGCGGCCTGGACTGGTTCGGGGGAAGAATGGCATCTTCGTCGTCGTCGTCCTCGTCCTCGAGGATGTTCGACAACACTTCATCATCGTCATCTTCCTCACCCGCTAACGGATCATCGAACAGCGGGGGAAGGACGGGAGAAACCTTCTCCATCATCTCTGCCCATGAGGTGGTGGTCCGGGGACAGTCCATGGGTTCCTCTCTGGGTTGAGCAGAGAGGCATGGGTCCGATTTTCCACCAACTGCCACGCGGAGCCTTCTTTCTCGGGTCTTAATCGAGAACGTAGCACAGTGCGGGGGTCCCTCGGGGTTGGACAGCGCTGCCTGCGCGTGTTTAGCGCCCAGACAGGAGATGCAGAGGCCGTGTGCATCCTTAGCAGAAATCCACATTCCACAAGCACACGGATGTGGAGGGCGACCTTTCCCTCCGGGGCTCTCCGGTTCTATCGCAGTGGCCATGATGGGGCTAGCACTCTCTTCGTACGGTGAGTTCTCACCCAACGTGACAACTGGTACGGAGCTGTGCTGCAATTAGAGAGCTGTTGTTTTCCTTGTCCTTTTGGTGCGTGGTAAGCGCCCAGAAAAACTTGGAAAAAGATAGAGGACTTAAGAGCAAGAAAACTCGTTTTGACACGTTAGTTATCGTACTCTTAAGTGACGAAGTCACTCAACGACCTAAGGAAATATAGCGTTTGGGACGTTACCTGTCGGCTCCGTCTGAAAACTGTTAAGCAAATAATTCCCAAAGTCTGCTGAGGACAGCTTCCGAAATCTTCCACGGGGAAGAGAGCGAGAATGACGAAACGGCAGGTAGCTGCGTTTATATACAGGGAGCCGGGACTCCCTGATCGCTGCAGCGATTGGTCTGCCATAGTTGGCAGACGTGGTGTAATTGGTGCTTCCGCGATCGGACACGCCCAGAGGCGTTCCCATAGTGAGATACCGAACGAATGTTAGAAAGAGAACCAAGAATGCAAAGAACGGACTTGTGTTCTTGGGGAGAACGCTCTTGCTAGTTGTTCTTGGAAGAATGAACTCACAAGGTGACGAGCACACAGAACGCTGCTGACAGTTTGAGACGATGTGTTCTTGCTGGTATTGCGCAATAATACCCCCGCACAGACACCGTCTGCAGTACCCAAACATAACGAGAATTATTGACGATAACAGCCAGGCTGCAATGGTCTCTTGACTGTGGGGTAAAACGAGTCTGTGAGCAAACTGGCCGGTTGGCTCGATAGCTAACATTACACCCGCAGGCGCTTATGGAGATTCTCACTTCCGAAAACGTTTGAGCACATTTTCGATTAGCCATAAATTTTCCTAAAAATGGCAATATTTAAAATCTACACAGTTGATTTCTTGCATCAAATGTTCTCAGAAGTGAATTTAGTGATGAAATAGTGTACGTAATTGTAGAAAAACGAATTACTGTATTGATCTGCCTCTCCTTCCTCGAATGCCGAATTGAATGCTGGGATATTTCTGCTGTCAAGTTCACACAAGTTACCAACCGATGCATCCTCTGTAAAATGGGCGTGTCAAGAACACATCCGGGATTTTTAACTGTTCTTGCCAAAATGCAAACTTGTGTATTGGGACAGTACTTGGGCCACAAAAGATGACGTTTCACAAGAACACAAGGACACAAGTACAGACAAGAACACAAATTGAGAAAGGCCCTATATGTTAAAATTTGAACAGATTTTAAGTGTATTCCAGCCTTCCAGTTATCCTTTGTTGTGAAATGACCTCAGATAAGCTCATTATTTCTATTAAGATCCATTCACACTAAGAACGATAACTATAAAGATACTAGAAGGATAAATATTAGTGTCCACACCAGCACACGATAACGTTCCGCTTATTATAGTTTTGTCATCGGCTGCTTTAAATGCTTGCGCTCCTCAAAGTTGAATGGATTCAGATTGGCGTCAGATTTCGATACCACACCCGTCTAAAACAGTGTTGTGAATATGAAATATCTTGCCAAAGGCATCTGACCATCTTATTCAAAGACATACCTGATTCGAGACAATACAGGTGTAGGAGCAATGGGACATAGTGAGAGTAAAGTGTCCAACAAAACTATTAAGGTAAGAAGAAATCACAGAGCAGTGATGAGATGAGCTTAATACATATAGACAGCTTGTTTTCCCTGAAGTCAGCCAGATTCTGCTTGTCTTTGCTGAACAAAGTGATACATTCGTCAAAACTCCACCATGTGTGACATTGATTTTCTGTCGTCTTACATTCACTGCAGCTCTGCACCATTGGCCTGTTCTTCTCACTGACAGGTTTAGCTTAATCAAGGAGGAAACTGTTTGAACCTTTCCTCCACTCAGTCAAGTGTTAAACCAGGGGAGGTTTGATGAAATGCTGTGATTATCAATAACAGTTCATCTTATTCAGGCAGGCATATGCATTCCTAAAACAACAGCTGACTGCAGTGTGTGTGTGACTGTTTGCTGATGGTGCTAAATGGGAACAGCAGATCGTCAATAACTTCTGATCAGCCTTTACATCTTCCTGCAGTGTGGATCCCTGCAGTTTCACATTCCAGCGGCGAACTCTCCAGCACTGCATCTCCCTGTCGGAAATTAACACGAGGCAATCCATCATTCGAAAAGAGAAAGATACATGCAGGTTAAAAATACACAGATCATGCAGATAAGAAATGACGTTTACTGAGTCTCTGTTTAAGGTTAAAATAAAAGGCATTAAAAACACAAATGCACTAACATGAATGATTTATGCTCAACAACTCACAGTATTTATTTACAAATACAGTGAAATATAATGGGCATTTATGCATGTGATATACAGTATAAAAGTTGTAAATAACAGACAAATATATCAGACAATATATTGGCAAATACACAGTCTGTTTGAGATGTATATTGTTGCAGCGGAGACATTTGAGTCAATAACAGGACATGATTGAATGCATTATATAGAGTAGGTTATTATAATATCACAATGTACTAAAATGCAACAACTTAAGCCACCAAGAATACTGTTATTACACAAACACAACAGATAAATGAGAGTAATACAGTAAGTCCTTTTCAACTAAAAAGGTCAAAAGTCAATACGTCATTTGACATTTCTTTTTGATCATTTCAAATGCAAAAGATTCCAATGCAGGTCAAAGGTCGGTCACAGAAAAAATCTCAAGAGGGAACTGCCGTGGAAAGGTCACCGTTCAGTCATGTCTCCTTGTATATGATAAGTGTTAGGGAAGCGGACTGGATGTACAAGCTCTCTGAATCGGAGAATGAAAGTCATGCCCGTATATGTGGTGTTCATAGTTTCCTCTACTGTTGTTTTGTCTTCCTCATGTTTAGTAAGGGTAGTGTTTCTGTTTCTTCCCTGCGAAACATGCCATCCACGTGCACAACAGCATGGCCAGCACAGCCCCAGCCCCGGTGCAATAATAAGCCCATCCGATCTCACAAGAACCTGGAAGAAACATAAACCACATATTCAAAAGTTGGCCCAACTATTTTTAAACAAAAATAAAATGTTTTCATGTATTTTAACCATGGTACAGAATTTGTTTCCTTTAATTATTTTTAATATTTTTATTTATTATTTCATTATTAATATTTGTGGAAATTAGATTTCTCACACACACACACACACACACACACACACACACACACACACACACACACACACACACACACACACACACACACACACACACACACACACACACACACACACACACACACACACACACACACACACACACACACACACACACACACACACACACACACACACACACACACACACACACACACACACACACACACACACAATATTTCAAAATGTGAAAAATCAAATTTTGAAATATTTGGGGTTGGTTAAGATACATTTATCAGGCTGCATTTATCAAAAATACAATAAAAACAGTAATATTGTCAAAAGGTATTAAAATTTAAAATAACTGTTTTCTATTTAATATATTTTTAAATGTAATTTATTTCTGTGATCAAAGCTGGATTTTCAGCATCAATACTCCAGTCTTCAGTGTCGCATGATCCTTCTGAAATCATTGTAATATGAGGATTTGGTGCTCAAGAAACATTTATTATAATTATCAATGTTGAAAACATTTGTGCTGCTGAATATTTTTGTGGAAAAAGGAGAGCATTTATTTGAACATTATAAATGTCTTACTGTCACTTTTGATCAATTAATAAATAAAATAAAATTCTTGCTGAATAAAAGTATTAAGTTCTTTAAAAAAATCTTACTGATGCCAAACTTTTAAATGTTAGTGTATATAAATTGTAATAAGTCTCATACAATGTAGATTGAGATCTAATATTTGTAATATATTAGTACACCCCTACTTTGCCTTAAATAGGCCTAAATTATAATGTGAAATTTTGCGTCTCAATATATATACCAACATACCAAGATCGAACTGGTCAGAACTGTTGCTGCAAGTCTGCCTGACCTCTTCACTGTCCCATCCTAAAGGATACAGGGCACATCCAGATCCGATCAGCAGCCCTGCAGAGAGAAAAAACACACTATGAATACAAAGAGACCCAAACGTACACAAGAAGTAGAACTTTAAGACATGACTAAGAGAGCTCACATAGTTCCCCGCTGTGAGAAGAAGAGCGTGATATCTCCTGAACAATAGATGATAGCCATGAAAGCCATGATAGCTTCACGCATTTTATCATCGGTCTGAAAAGCTATTATTTGTTTTACTGCAAACAATGCAGGATCATTAGCTTGTTTTTTTCCCATTTGACACAGATACTCCATCACACGCAAATGCAAACACACACCTCCGCAGAGATAAAGCACAAATCTTGTTTTCATGGGCTCAAGATCCAAACAGCCATGAAAATATGATAATGAATGCAGCAAGTAGCTTATTTATAAACGAGCTTCTTGGGAATTATTTCATATTTCCCCTTTTATGTTCTTACCAATTCAGCAAAAATAAACAGGCATGTAATTCCCACCAGAAATAAAACTGTAGTTTCACTGTGACTCCTCCTCTCTAGTGATCTCTAAATCCTTACCAGAATGTTTCCTAATAAAAAAAGAACAGCAAACCATGTGCCTTCATCTATTTCTCAGTGAGTATACTGATTGTGATATGATATATATATATATATATATATAGAGAGAGAGAGAGAGAGAGAGAAATTAAGAAAATTAAGAAAATAAGTATACAGTGACTTTGCCTTGTCTAACCGTGTGCATGGAACATATTTAGCGGTTAGTGCTGTTGTGTGCATACTATGTGTGCCATGTAATGTTTGGTTCTCTTTGTGTCTGCTTACAAATGATGGGTGTGTGATCACTGATCATCTCAAGTTGTCTGTGCAGGGTAGTTTTGGTCTGAGTCTGAGATAATGAAAGGACAAAGGACTGAACACAAAGAACACTCCCTCACTGCCGTGCAAGCTAAATCCCAGTAACAAAGATCATTTTTGGAATGAAGCACTTTCATTTGTACTTACTTTGATGTCATGGATATTCTTTGATATAAAAAAAAAGTCTAGATTCCAACATTATTACTCCAGTTCTAATCGCTCCTTGTTATACATTTTAAAACTTGTCTTTGTCTTTAAAATTCTTCAAATGTCGTCTTTTCCCTGCATCCATTCAAGCAGGCCTGAAAATCCATTACACTGAGTCAGGCACTTATAAAAATGACATTCTACTTCAGAGTTCAAACCGACAAAGGAATACAGAGAGAAGGGAAATAGCCTTTTACGTGCTTCAGTTTCCTGTATCCTGCAATCAGAGAAGTTATGAACGAGTAATCGATAAGTCGATATTGGGCAAGTTTGTTATGTGGATGTGAGAGCATGAAAAGAATGCCAACTTATGCAGAAATGAACTTTATGGATTGCAGCGGCATACTCATTTCACTCGCTGGCACGTGGTTGAACACATATGGTGAGGTTGCGAGTACAGCAGTTCTCCTTGACAAAACCAAGACAAAAATGGACTGTTGCAGTACTGTGAAACGAGGAGGTCCTTTGGTCACAGAAAAGGTGAGGAAAAATTGACAGTGATAAAGTGAATAAGAGGGACGGAGAGCTGCACACTCAGAATTTGAAAAAAGCAGCTTTGGCCTGCAATGGGCTTCTGGTTGCACTGTGTTTTCAAAGTCATACTACCACTAGCATCAGGAAAGTTCTTAAATAGTTAAATATACATGCCCAAAGCTGAACACCTTATTTAAAAAAAGCATAGAAAATGAATAGCGCATTCTACGGAGCCCCTAAAAGGACGTGGTTTGGCTTGCTAAGGTAGGTTACATTACATTAATTGCCCAGGTAGAGGATTTGATGCGCAACAGGTCTTGAGCGTCATTGACAAATATATTATCTTGTAAAATGTGTGGTCAGAACAGCCGCTTCCTATACACAGAGTACGTGATCGCGAATTCGAAATCGAAAGTGAAAAGCGTGCGCACATTCCAAAGCAATTTCGGTTACACTTTATTTGAATGTGTCCCTGTTACAGTAATTATACATTTAAGTACTGAGTAATAGTAATTAACTAAGTGTACTTACTATAGGGTTAAGGTAGGATTAGGGTTTGGTTTAGGGTTGGTTGAATACAATTCTGCCTAATTTTGGTTATTACCACAGTAAATACATGTAACGTGTAACAAGGACACATTTAGTAATAGTAATTAACTAAGTGTACTTACTATAGGGTTAAGGTAGGATTAGGGTTTGGTTTAGGGTTGGTTGAATACAATTCTGCCTAATTTTGGTTATTACTACAGTAAATACATGTAACGTGTAACAAGGACACATTAAAATAAAGTGTTAGCGCAATTTCAATACCCCGCATATTGATTACGGCTCCGATGCCCGCAAATTATATACAATATAATTATTCAACTATATAATTATGCGAGACGCGAAAGCATTGAAATATACTTTTTCCTCCCATCTCATATTTTTTCCATTACTATGTCCGTAGAATGTGTTATTTCCTTTCCGAATTTTGTATTCGGCTTCAGGCACACCCTTAGTGCATACTAACAAAAGTTAATTTTAATCGAAGTGTGTGCAGTAAAATATAAAAGTGCTCTAGAAAACTACATACAAAATAGTATGCCTACTACAAATATGTACTACACAACTAGACTAAACCAGACAGTATGCATTACAAACGCAGCATATAATAAGTAGAATGTGCAACAAAAATACTATGCATTGCACTAGTAAGTCTACATTACAAAAAAAAAAAAAAACTGCATAAAAAACTAATAATCACTTGGTTGAGTGCATGAAATTGTGTGCAAAGCTGACTAGTTAATGATGTATACTGGATCTGAACAGATTTAGCACAAACATTTTTTTTTAATCTAAAAGGAACAAAGTGAAGAAAACAGTGGAGAGTTTGAATCATTAGATAATTATCTCATGAAATCCCATATGTGTGTTTACTTCATGCGTGTTTGAATAACAGGATGAAAAGGAAAACCATCATGTGTACTGGGAAAAGTCTCTTATCTGTAGCTGCTATACATTTGGAGGAAATCAAGTATAAAGATGCGTGTGAGAGAGAAGCAAAGGAGAACAGAATCCAGCAGGAGACGCTACTTCTGAGCATCACGTCTCTAAGGATTCTCATGTTGCTCACATATAAAGATCAAGCTCTAACCTGAAACCCATAATCCTGTTTTAAACCCTCATCTAAACACAATTCTCAGCCTGCATAGAGAGTGGCAGGGTTTTGAATTTTCATTCAGTCCACAAAACCAGTGATCAACTTCAATCTTCTAAAGGTGATGATACACAGGGCAACTTTTAGAGCAATGTTGCTGGGCAATCTTGCCGAACTATTGTTGCTTTGGCACTTTGCCATTGAAAACGGTCGTGGGCCCTGTGTCTCATCTTGTTGCCCGTTGACGGCAACATTGCCCAGCAACATTGCCCAAAAAGTTGCCCTGTGTATCATCACCTTTACTCTCGTGTCACATCCGTTGCCAATACTTGGGCTTTCAGAACCCTGAAATAGAATGAGTATAGGTTTATATCAAGAGGATTAGTATTAGTCAATGTTTGTCATGTAAGGAATATGGGTTTACCTCATCATTTTTATTTGAGAGAAAATCTTTTAATTTAGTAACTGATGCAGAATTTATAAATTTATTAGAAATAATAATAATATTTTCGAACACATTTCTAAAGTCTAAATATCTCACCACAGGTCCATTTTTAAATAAAAACCTTTTAAGATTTGAATTAAGTTTTCCATAATGTTTTTCCATAATTTATGTTTCAATCCAAAGTTGTGAATTTAACTTGTGTGCAAAATTGGAATTTCGCACAAAACATTTGTGAATAAAGCACATTTGTAAGAGAACAAAATCTTCACTTCCTGGGAAATTGATGCAAAATATCTGTAATAAAAATGGAAGTTTCTGCAATTGGGGAAGCAACTGTGGCTCTTTTATCCAACATAATGAATGATTTGCATCTCAGAGCAGATGAAGCACAATAAACACTCTCTTGTTATATTGGGTTCGGATGCCTGGTGTTTGGGAACGCAATCATGTGAGACACTTCTGGGACATTATACCAAATCATTCTGATGAAAGACTTTGGCTCAAGCATTTCAGAATGACCAAACCAACATTTGAGATGCTGTGAAATTGAAATTGGTATGCTGGTTGCTAGTCCAGATTTCCAATCACATTCTCTGTTTAGGCAAAGGTTTTTGTTGTTTATTGAGGGATTTATATGGTATCCGCCTCAATTGAGAGCCTACGTTTTTATACGCATTTTTAGAATTTATGCTCATCCATACATGCTTTTTTATGCGATAACCCGAAATGCACAAAAAAATAGGTGGATGGAAAATAGGTACAGCTACTGATAAAGAGTGTAGAAATGTATGAGAGAATAACAATAAAAAAATATAACCAAAATTTGTAATTTAGAAATGTATTATAAACCACAATAACAATCTATAAAACTAACTAAGAAAAAAATATACACAGATATTTCATAGCATAGTAAAAAAAATAAAAAAAATAACTTGCACCCCTGCTTGGGGAAAACAGTGGAATTGGTTGTTTTCTAGAGGTGATAAGCAATAACTGTAGTTTTTGTGAAATACACAAGGCAGATGGTCTATTGTCAACTCTACAGTGCTCACACAGCCTGACAACACCTCAGGAAATGAGCGCGCCAACACAGGGACAGCTGAGACAACCGTCTTATCACTAAGAGCAACACCTCTGATTGCTACTTACGCAAGCTCTCTTCAGTGAGTGCGCATAGATAGGACCTTCACAGTATCAGTACCAAGTGTTTTCCACTGGAAACAAGACATGCTGTGGAGGAAGGGACAGCATAATCTAAAAGGAATGACTTGAACTTTACATTTCACTTACAATCCCGAAGATCTGCTGTCGGGAACGCGTGCGTATCAGTCACTCATGGATTCAGTAAACACTCCAGCACACAATGATAAGACACATCTCTTATCCTGACAGCAGACAACAGTCTCAAAAC